CTCATATTACCTTTCTGCTTTATATTTTATTTGTGAATCATGTATGGGCCATCTGCCATCAGAGTGTTTCTCTAGGTTTGTATTGCACCTGCCACATTTGGATTGAAACTCATGTCTGGGTTCCCAGACATTACATGTTATTTATAGTTTTACTTGAATGACTTGGGGGGAAAAAAGGACCTCTCACTAAGTAAATAATAAGATTATATTCAAATGCCCAGCAAAACAAAGTATGGAGACATTTCAGGGACAGGGAAAAGGAAGTGAAGTTTTCTTTCAACTTCAGTTCCTCAAAGTTTTGGTGTAAAATGTCATAAACTCCCCTTCCTCCTTTGGTGCTTCTAGTCAGGAGAAACTATTTGGCAGTTCTGTTGAGCTCTGTCTTAATTTAGCAAGCAGTATGGTTGCTTTCTAAAATAAACTCTTATTTAGAATTCCCTCTTTGTGTTATCTTTATCATATTGTTGGGACTTAATGCTACTCTTTTCTTCTTAATCACACTGAGATTTCATGATAAAAAATGTTCCAGAAGCAAAAGGAAAAAGTGATTGACGGAACCAATATCTGGAGTTTGGTTTTACTTCAAAGAAGTATTTGAACTGCTAGTCACCTTGTAGGACCAACCCTACAGCTGAAGAAACTTAGAATGTTGGACATATTTTACTTTAGTTCTGCACATTTGTCAAAGAAAGTCAAGGTCTTGTTTTTTAAAGCCCTGAAGAATTGGACAGGCCATGATGAACCCTTTGCAGCACTAAGCTTTGCTCTGCAGCTCCTCACACTGTAAATTATTTACCTTTCCAGGAGATCGCCTTGGAAATATTCTTCAAAAATGGTTACTCCAGATTTCTGGTCTTCCATGACAGTGACCGAAATAAGATATTTAAAAGGTAATGACTAGCTCACAATAATGTGGGAATGCTCCTGGTGATGCTTGGTATACCACTCTTATTTATCCTGATGCCAGGTGTCTGTGTTGTGTTGCTGCAGGAGTCTTGTTTTCCATTTTTTCCTTGAGTTTTAATGGGTTACACATTAGCTATAAAATTTTCATTTTGCTGACCCGTGGGCTCTTTGGAGCATTACAAGCCATTGACTTATCAAGGGATCTAATGTGCAGGACTTTCCGGCACCCAGTGGTGTTGTGTTTCCCTTCATCCCAGGAAAATTTGACTGTAGCTGTTTTCCTTCCTCCCACTGAGATGAGAGCCACCTCCACCTCACCGCACAGTATTGGGTGAAAGAAGGTTTCTTTCTGCTTTCTTCCAACCCTCATAGTATCACTAGATTCTTTAGGAATAATATATTTTTATTTCTCTGACTTCATTTTTGTGTGTTAACTTTTAATAATGGCATTAAAAAAAAATTCTCCTTATGTGCTTGTCTTGTTTAATGGAACTTGAATGTAAGACTATGAAGTGATTAATTTGCAGTTTGTTTTGTGGCATGTTGTTGTCTACTGCAGTTCTGGCCATTAGATCAGGGTTGCATTCACTGGCCTCTACACAGGAAAATTCACTCCAGCACGAGTGCTTCCTGTACTAAATTCTGCAGCCCGAACTGAGCATTGGTACTGTTAATTTCTAAAGAATCACAGGAATTCCTTCTGCTCCTGAAACGTCTGAACAATCCCTATTGCAGTATTGTATAAAAAAGTCAGTGCAGATCTATCTGTTCTTCTTTTCCAAACAGGCTGCATAGTGAGGCTACTTAGAATCACCAGGATCTGCCCCAGAGCCAGCCCTTAACTTTGCTGTCTTTGATTTCTGACAAGTATCTCTTGGGGGAATCTCTCAAAGGCAGTTCAAGACAAGGTTTTGATCCTCAGCTAAAGGTCACCAAAACTGTATATTTCAAGGGTATCATTTGTCTGATATCACAGCACAGCAAATGTAAATATGAACAGCTGAGATAAGGGTTGGTGCCTCTTTCTGTCATTTTTGCTAAATAAATTTCTGAATGGATTCTTATTCTCTGACTTTAATAGAACCTTAAACCAAAAAAATCCATAACCCTGTATGTAAATTCAAAGCCCTCTTGGGGAAAGAAACTGCTTTTATCCAGCCCATAGCAAGTCCTTAATATTAGATATATGCTTTTGCCTGTTGTCTTATAGCTTTGTCCTAGGTTAGAGAATAAGGACAATGCTGTGGCTTCCTGGAGAAAGTTGTGAGGACAAAGCAGTTATATAGATATGTGTCCTAATAACCATTTGAATAACTATAATGTGCCCTTTCATATCTCCTATAGATTTTGTTCTTTCCAACCTGCTTTGAAGTCGAAGGGGATAACAGAAGAATCCCTAAATATAAGGTAAAACATAGGAAATACTGGATAGCTGTAATAAGTGCAATTATGTGAATAAATTGCACCTTTAAAAAGCATGTAGAAACATACCTATTTGTGTCCTTCCTTTTAAAGAGTCAAAGGTGTTGCCAGAACTTCAAAAAGCATTCTAGCATACTTCATCACAGTATGAATATAAGTGTCAAAAAGCTGACTGTGCAAAATTTTTAATAATTATTTTCTCCTTCATATCACTTTATTGGTAAACTCTACACAAATGGTTACTGTGGGAAGAGACAGTGAGGTGAGGACAGAGTTGATCCATGATGCTTTTGCATAATGACCTCTTCATTGCGTGCTGAGGGCAGAAAGTGATGTACATGTGGATGTTTTGGCACATTGTATTAGCTTCACAGTGGACATTTTAGCTTGTCCCTCAGATTTTACTGTTGCAGGAAAAAAGTTTTCTCCTAGTGGGAGCTGCTTGAGAGAATGTTTCATGCATTCCATGAGTTAGAGTAACTTTTCTCAATTTAGGTATCTGGGGAGCACAGTCCTAAGTGTCTAATTGGTGTCCTCTGAAATGATTTTCTGAGGCTGGAATGGTGTCAAGACCTGAGGTGCACATTGCCCCTGAGTTGTTACAGCCTGTGTCAGCTATACCCATTTTAATTTTCAGTCTACCTGTTGCAGATCATTACCTATCTTGTAAGTGAGCACTTTCACCCCTGAGCTCCAGTCATCAACTGGCTAAAAGTATCAGTGCAATATGGAACCAGTTTAGGCTAGAGCCTAACCTAAGCCAGAGGGGATGGCTGGCTGTGGAGTGTGGTATCTGTCCTGTGTAAACCGCAACTCGCTCTAGGATTTCCTTTCCCCCTGCTTGCTGGGAGCTCAATAGGTGTCAATGTCTTGAGAGAAGATGCATTAGAGCTTCAAGAAATTTGGGCATTAACTGGGCTGGGAGTTATTGGAAGAAACACTTGACTCGCAGTAATCTCAGAACGTGAGACAGGCTGCATGCCTAGGTCTAAAGTAGCCTATCCTGAATCCCAGTAAGTAGCCTATCCTTTCTCAACTGGCTGAGAGAAGCCCCTACACAACTTATTTACTCTGAGGATGTAAAGGATCTTTGGCATAGCTTTGGCTGGACCACGTTAAGAGCATGAACTGAAATAAAATAAATGTAACATTTATTATAATCACTGCCTAAGTATTGAAGCCAGAAAAGTTCTGTTAAAGTGGAAAGTTAAGAGAAAATTACCTCAGTAGGTGTGCTTCCCTTTACCAGTCAGAACTAACGGACTGAGGACGTTGATGAGTTTACTCTTCCCTTGTTTGAATTGTGGAGCTGTTTCAGATTTAGAAAATTTCAAAAGCAGCACTTGGGGCTCCTTCCCCATCTAGGGGGACAATGGCCAACTTCCACATCTTTCCAGCTTTTCCTGCCATACCTGAGAAAAGGAGGCAGGCCAGATTAAATTCTTTGCCAAGACACACTATTAATAATTGCACAGTTGAAGCATGGAAAGAAGGAATTACTAGCTTGATGCATCATATGACATTGAGGTAATAGAATTTCTAGGAAAATCCCTTATCAGTTTTTCCACCTAGTCCATGGGAAATATACAGGAGCTCTGACTCCCAGGCTCTACTGCAGTAATTTAAAAATAAAGTGCTCCTGGCACTTTATTCTTCATTCAAATATACTTAAATGTTTGCTGTCACCATAGGTTATTATGGCCACTGCCAGCCCTTCTCATGTCATGCCTGAGTGCTTTTATAATCTGCTCATTGCTTGTCCCTGTGTATTGCTGTGTGCAGGATGTCAGCACTCTCTGCCCTAAGGATGTGATTTCAGCAAGTGAATGTGTGTGCTCAGGTGTACATGTGCATTTGTACATGTCAACAGAAAACTAAAAGTGCTGTGGGGATACTAGACCTGACTGTCAATTCAGAAGCTTACTCCTGGATCATGGAAGACAGTGACTCTTCTCTTAATCACTTTAGTCACTGCTAAAGTGATAAGCCTGGGACTCTTAGATAAATATTTTTCCTACCCCTTCTACATCTTCCTTGGAGAGAGATTCAGAGGCTGGCAAAACGCTATGAGTATGGGCAGTCACGCTGATTGTGTTGTACAACTTGGAAGATTGCTGCATCTAGGTATAGCACTCAAAATCCCAAAGAACTTTCAGAATCTGGCCCCTTGATGGCAACCAGGATCACTGGTTGTCTATATCTAAGTATTGTGTTTGTGCTGCTTAGTTCCTCCTGAGCATAACGCTCGTGTTTGCTGCCTCTGCTGAACTGGAACAGGCTCGCAGTTCCTACACTGGCAGTGCCTGTTTGAGACTGAGAGCTTGGTGGCAGCCACCAGCAGAAGGTTCCCAGGTCTTTTCCTCTTCCTCTAAATGGTATTTACTGAGACTAGTTGAACTGTCTTGCGCTATGAAAATGAGCAGAAATAATACTTGAGGCTTAGTGGTGGGAATGGATTTACTAGAAAAACCTGTTTAAAAGATCCCTTCACTGGGCATTGCACACACAAAAGACCCCAAAAAGCCCAAACATGTTGTAAGGACAGGCCCAGATGTAAACAGCCTTTTCCAAATACACATCTGGTTTAGTTGTTCTGGTTTTCATTCTAGAGACATCTGCTTCTAAAATGAAACTGATCTTTAAAGAAGCAGAACTCCAGGAAAACAGAGGAGGAGGGTAGTCAGCTTTTTATTTGCTTGGCTTGGACTTCATGGAACATCGTCTGTAGACTGCCCTGGTATATTTTCCAGATTTTCATCTTTCATTCTCCATTCTTCTTGGTTATCAATTGCAGTGGAATTGGGTGTAGTGAGTGAAGGGAAACTTGGCTTATCTGAGGGGCCGGGTGTCACATCCTCTAACTTGTGCAGCTCATCCCTCTCACCCTGACACATCTGCAGGCAGGAATTGCACAGATCTTTCTTTTCTACTAAGTAAAGCGATTCTATGCGTTTAACGGTGTCAATTGGCTCGTCTTCCTTTGCAAATTCTGGTAAAGGGTTTCTTTTTACATTCAGTCTCTCAAGCTTGGGGAGTTTTTTCACACTCTTCGGGATGATGGTCAAGGAGTTGTCAAAGAGACCTAGTTCAATAAGTTCCCTCAGGGCCCCAAGAGTGGTGGGAATAGTCTCAAGACAGTTTAAGCCAAGGTTGAGAGTACGCAGGTTCTTGAGACGGGTCAACTCTTCTGGTAGACCTTTTGTGGTCAACTTGTTGTTGCATAAATTCAGGTAAGTAAGGTTCTGAAGTGTGCCTATTTCTGCAGGCAGCTCATCAATCTGATTACTATGCAGGTCCAGCCACATCAGATTCTGGAACTTCTCAATGATGTTTGGAATCTTTCTTAACATGTTTCTGCTCAAATCAATTTCCTCCACATCAGCCAGCTCCAGAAGGCACTTGGGGAAGACGGCAATGCCCATTTTGCTTAACTCAAGACGGCGCCTTCCATTAAAAAGTACCCGGACTGCATTTTTGGCCACTTTCAAGGTGATCCTTTTCCCTTGTGGACCTTTTCCCTTGGGCATCTCTCTGCCAACAGACAGACACACCAGATCCTGTGAATAAAATGGGAGAACTCCAATAAATCTTCTGAAAGCCATGGCTGTAAATCACACAGCTATATGTTAATATTACTGCTAGACTTTTCTGAAGCTGTTTTTTTTTTGAGGTCAGAACTTGTCAACTGAAAATCTGCAACTCTAAAAATTTTCAGTAGGTGAAATTCTAATAGTTTACAATATTATTTCATTGCAATGTAATATCTATGTTACATTACAGGGTGAAATTACAAGTGGGACACATTTGCTGTCTTTCATTCCTAAATACTGATTTGAGCTTAGGATATAATGAAACTGAATGAAATATGTTATTATCCATCAGCCAGTTGAGGACTGAAGAAAAATATACTGTGGGTCTCAACACAATCCCTAGAGACTGCATTAAAAGAAGCTATCCAAAATTATGTCGTTCTACCAGATCAACATTTGCCATATTTACAGGCCTGGCATTTGCTAACAGGCTGGTTAAATTTATTGTGTAATGGACTTGAGATTTGGGCTCTGGATGTTATTGAAAGATTAAAAGTTTAAAGGAAATTATTAAGAATTTTGTTTTGACCAGGACTCAGGAACATAGTAGGCTCCCAGACTTGCCAGAAGGACTGGCAATTCATACATCACCTACAGGGCAAACTGCAACAGGGATTGATGTCAGTGCTGCTTAATGCCATGTTAAACCAGGCTTTGCTAAGTGTCTCCTCCTCTGGATACCCTAACCTTGTTATTTTGTTCACGCTGTGGGATAGAGGGTCTCCCACTGCAAAGGTGCCCTGCCCTCAGAAAAATGCATATAGGTGTAGTAGTCAGACTTTTGACTCGTACTGATGCTCAGCATGTGCTACATGCTTCCTGGAATGAGGCCTGTAAGAGTATAGTCCACTTACTCTCAGGTTTGGTGAACTCTTTCTAGTCAAAGGTCATCAAATATAGCTGCTAATTATGGCTAGTGGCAAAGGAAGCAGGCTGACTCCTGGAAATGGATGACAGAGTCCCTCCCAGTGAGAGTTCGGAGAGGAGCACAGGTTATAGCTGAGTAATCTCAGGTGTGGGTGCTCTGACATTTAATTTTGAAAAGTCACATTGCAGCTTTGATGAATGATTGTTTAGGACAAAATATAGATTTGTCAACAATACATGTCCCTATTAGAAAATCTTCACTGCAAACCCTTCAGGCTTTTTGGCTACTCATTAATCATGTGTGAATACATGAAGAGGAAGCTCAAGCTACATCTAAGGCATTTCAGCTTCTTTTCAATTACATGCCATAGCCCAAAATAATGCAAAAGCATTAACCCAGCTACCACCCACTCTCCCAAGAGCTCTGTAATGAGGCAGATGCTTCAGAAAATACTGGAAGTAGTGCAGTGGATTCAGTCTTGCCCTGAGGGTGAGTTCCAAAATAGGTTTTTTGCTATTTTACATGAAAATATTTAAACACATGTTTAGGTTTAGTTAGATGTTTCTGTGTGCCACTCCCCTGAGTATTTACAGAACCATATTACCGAGGGGCAGTGTCAATGCTGTTCTATGTTGACTGGTAACTGAAGCAAAGTACTCAACAGTGTAAATAAGTACTCTTCCCACCTTTGTTGATGTTAGTGTAAATAATTTCCCCAGGAGTGAGTAGAAAATTCTGGAGATCAAAACAGCAGGATTTTCTAATCACAGCTCACTAATTTTAAGGATTTTAGGCAATATTCTTGTTAGCAATTCTGTAAAGATAAGGTTGAGCAGTGTGAGGCATGCCAGGGCCCTATTGCTGATACAGGACACCCTGAGTCCTTTCTAGTCCACAGAAGTGGGATGACTGCTACACTTCAGAAAAGATCTATAGGGGAGCTTTCTAAGTGTTGGTAGAATGCAAAGAGACTTTCTGCTTCTTGTAATTGACATGAACCAGGTGACCTTTGGGTCCGATTTTTTCTTTGTTTGAGTTTTGTGTTGGACAAGTTGACCAATACATTTGGTGCTTTTTGATAATGAAGCTTCTCAAACATGTATGCCTTTGAAAAATGAATGGGAGCCTCAAGGAAAAACATGCAATTTTCCCCCCTAATTTCAAAATTACAGGTTCTTTTAAAATGCTTTTTAAAAACATGTTTAAATCTCAAAAAAAAAAAAAAAAACAAAAAACCACTATATTCAGTTCCTCTAAATTTTTTCTATTATTTTTTATTTAAAATCCAAGAGAGCATCATTGAGCCAAAATACTTTCCGATTTTAAAAAATACCATCTAGGCAAAGCATCATTCAGTTGTGCCACTGTTGGGTGAGTGGTTCCCGGAGCCGGGTCCCCCTGCGCTCTGCGCGCCTGGCAGCACTAGAGGGAGCCTGGCGTACAGGGTTGAGTGCTGCAGTTCAGCTGCTGGGTTTGAGCGTGTCTCTGTCAATAACCCCTTCCAAGCTGCTGCAAAGTTTGAACCTGGGCCTTTCACGTTTTTAAGAAGTTCAAACAATCAGATCAGTGGGATTTTTCTCAGGAGAGATCTCTTTGTATGATCCACTGAATAATGTGCAGGTTCCAAAGATTTTCTTCCCGTAGCCTACTTTAGCCAGATTTTTTTACATCCAACTGTGAACATCTCAGATGCACTGATCAAGTCCCTAAGGAGTGCTCACTCTAAATGCTATTTAGTTTGGGTTAAAAGTTGGAGCCACATTTCAGACTTAGAAAAATATTATTTGCAATTCCAAAAATAGGGATTAGTACTAGAGGACTGCAGAAACATTTTAGTGTACTTGACAACTTGAAGAGGATGAATAGCTCTCCTACCTCTGCATGCTTGTAAACTAATTTATCAGTGTTTTACAGGGCTGTAGCTGGAGATAATGGAGCTTACTTAGCCATGTCTTATTGTCTTTGGTTCAGTGTAAGAAGGCCCCAATCCTGTAGCCACTGATATTAAAAATTCAGGAATCACAGGAGTCCTCCTTGCTTAAAAGTTGATTATGCCTGTTCAATCTTACACTCACAGTGCATCTCCTGGATGGCAGAGGGAGGGGTACATCTGCTGCCCTACCACCTAAGAAATGATAATGAGACTTTCCACCTGTTTTCTCTAAACCTGCACCTCACTGCCAGGCTCACACTCTGTGTTGTTGGCAAGCCTTTTCTTCAGGTGTAGTGTGCTGTATTTCTCTGATCAGGTCTCACTAAAACGGATCTTGACTAGAAAGCACTTTCCCTTTCTATCCACACTTGTTAGAATCTTTGGCCTGGATAGGCTTTTGAAAGTCCAGAGCTTTAGGAGTGTTTAACAGGCCCAGAGATTAAAGATCGGTCTGATACAGAAATTAATAGGAAATGTGCGTCAAGGACATTATGCTGTTTGTGGTGCTCAGTGCTGCTGGGAGCTGCAGGGATGGAACAGACCTGAGCGTTGGTACTAAGACTGTCAGTGTCTCTCTGAGGCAAGGAAGGATTGGGGATTATTCCTTATCTGCACTTAAGCACTTGCACAGGGGTCAGTCATGACCCACTGTATCTTAAGCCTGCCCCAAAAGGATTATCTGATCCTAGAAGACTGCATATTTGGACCCTGAACATCTCTTTTTCCTTTCCTGGCCCAGGTGGGTGCAGAACTGGCCTTCTGCCTGTAGCACTGCTTGGTGCCTCAGGACCTCTTTCTCTGTGGTTCTGCCTATCATTTTCTTCTAGGGTTGGTTCTTCCCAGTTCACTGCACCTAAAGCTGCACAGGACCATCTTAAGCCCATCTCGAACTACTCTGTAAGAAATTTCCTCTGTCTTCCCTGCAGCAAGCCCAGCAGAGTTCTACATTCCCTGCACCTCTCTGTTGAGAGGGAGACTGTGAATTGACATGTGCTCATTCACTCATGGAGTAGGTGATGCTATCATCTGTAGTGAAATATTTGCATGCAGAGCTTAAAACCAACATTTGTACAGCAAATGATTTTGCACAAAGCCAAACAGTTCCACTTCCCTGCTCACAAGCCTGTTACCATTTCTCATTGTTGGATATGATCTGTTGTGGAAGAGATTAATTCATTGACTGTCTTAAACGCAGTCTTAAATAGGCAGGTTTAGACTAAATTTCACTGTGAGTAAATAGTTTGAGAAAGGTTTCCTTTCTTAATTTTCTTATTTTCCGGATGACTTCAGGGCCACCATGCTATCCCACCGTTCAAAGTCACTTGCAAAACCAAGGCCCAACAAGAATAAGCAAAACCATTGTTTCATCTTAACCATTGTGCCAGGCTGCCCCTGCATATGATCTTACCGGCTAAGTTGCTTGAAAGGCCCGAGGGTGAGGTGCAGATGTCACAAGCTGCTGGGGTTTTCTCAGTAGTGTGGGCTCTTACTGTGCAGTTGTCCTCTGCCTGCTCTTCTTTGAATAATGAATTAGTCTTTCAGTCTGTAGATAAAGCCATGAGGATGAAACAGTCCTGTGAATTCTGCATGGTACTTCCTTTACGGAAAATGGCAGCTCTTCAAGAGGCTTGTGTGAGCATGTCAGTGAGGAGTGGCTAAAGGGTTTCCCCAACTCCAGGGTCCTGCTATTCAGCGTTATTTCTGCAGTTTATGAAACTTGTGTTACCAAGCAACAGGAGTGCTACGCCCTTGGAGATCATTAGCATAATGGTTGGTTCCAGAATGCAAGATCAAGCTGGAAGGAGAAGAACTGAATGGCATACAGTGCCTGGGCATCTTGTATTTCAAATTATGCCAAAAGAAAAAGCATCTGGAGTTCATTAGCTGCTGTTAGCTTCTAACATTGCCTTAACTGTCCATTTTAGTCATTTGACTATTTCATTTTACTTGGCTGTAGCAGAGTGAGATGTACTTGTCTGTGTGTGTTAAAACTCAGGATGTTTGTGGTACCATCCTTACCACATGCCAGATGGGGTAGATGTGGACACAGGAGGGAAGGCTCATTGAATGGGGCAGCAGAGAGTATATGATCTACAATTTATCTGTTCATATGTATCTATCTGTCACATCTATTTATAATAACTATCAGTGACCCTTCAAAAGTGCACTTGGTATAATGATTTCTATCTGAAGCAAGTGAATTTATTGAAATTTGTCCCTATGACTGAGGTTCCAAGCTCAAGATCTTAGTAACTGATCACAATAATTTCAAAATCATATCTGGAAGAAATCCTACCATGGAAGTGAATAAGCTGAATGGTTTGTTTAGGTATTATTCACAGGAGCTGCAACATTAAGGCCTCTCTTGCTGATAACAGGACCAAGATATTATTGGCATAAAGAATCTGATTATGTTAGTGTACTTGTCTGATTCCAGGGTTGGAGATTGCATTCTGCTCACCTAAACAAGTTATCTGAATTTACTTGATGTGTTTCTTCATGACCTGAAGTGTGCCTGAGTGCAGCATCTCCACAGTGGAAATGTTATCCCTTTGGTTGAAGCACTGTAAATGCACATGGTGCAAGCAGAGTTACATAAATGAGGGAGATTCCTTTCTCCCCCTGCTCTACCCCTTTCAAGACACCCTGCTTCAAGGAACCCTACTTGAATATGGTGTTTATTTTTTATTTTGAATTAAATCTTAATTCTTTAGCAAAGGTTAAGCATAACTAGAAGGTAGAGTGGTACAGTCAAACAAGAAAGACGCTGTACCTCTAGAATAAAGTAATCTAACCTAGCACTCTTTTAAGTTTGAGATATGTTATTTCACTAGGAAAAATTGGTATTTCTTTGGTAATTGCAAAGCTTTTTAAAGAAAAGTTGGTTTATGAGAGCCTTGGCACAGTTTTTTAGACTGTAGTCAGGAGGATGGAAGGAAAATAAAAAGAAAGTTAAAGCAGAAATCTAGAAATTGATTAAATTTATTGGAATTTTCATGTTAATTTTAGTGAGGGCAAAATCTTATCCTTTGAGATTATCTCATCTACAATGACTCTCCAAATGGGTTGAGGTGCACCTGTCTCTAGCAAATGGCACACTGGCTATCACAAGGGTGAGATCATAGTCTGATGTTAATGGAAGAGGGATTAATAAATCATGTATAGAATAGCCAAAGGTGGATCATCATTGGTACACATCATGTTTACATTCTGTCATGGCTGGTGTCCTACAAATACCTTATAAATTAAGATATAGATAGATCTGTAGGTAGCTGACCTTCATCTACACTGAGCTTTTGCTGTGCTGTCTAGAGAGGTGTTGGCTGGGAAAATGCTAATTGATTATCAAGGAGAAGGTAGGAATAGGCTTTAGCTGCCTGTAATGCAATTCTTGTTTTGAGACCCTGAGTCAACAGAGGAGAATAGAGGATTTCAGGTCTCTGGGGAATTAGAGGGAGCATCCTCTGAGACCCAGAAGGATGGCTTTTACAGGGGAGAGACTATATTTAGCCTTGCTTCTTTTCATGACATGGTGAACTTGTCAACCTCTTTTGAGTAATATAGTGGCTGCCAAAGTCAGCAGAGAGAATTATTTTGACCCTTATATGGTCTTATTAGCTGTTTAGGGCTTATGACAAATAGAGCAAGTGTTTCACCAGGAGGTCATGGCACCCACAAATCAACATATGTATATTTACATAACATCTACATAAGCCTGGCCCAGTTTAGTCCCATGTTAAGCATTTTATAATGCTCTCCGCTGCTCTCTAACTCAACCAGAAATCCAAAATAGACCTGGATGGTTTTAGTGAGCAAGTATGCCCCTGTGGAAAGGGAAGAGCCTAACTTGATCACTCTGTAACAAACAGCCTAATCCAACCACACTTCAAATAATGCCAGGAATCCTGATCCTGTTACATCCCTTTAAGATACCCTCTCTGAGTTCCAAATGTGTCTTGGAGGCCTTACAAAGGCCACTGGGGCAGTGCTCTGTGAAATGTACATATAGAACGAGAGGACTTTATTTTAAAGGTAAGCGCTGACTTTTGTCCTTTGGAGTTCCCACATTGATAAGCCATGTGTTTCTCAAACTGGGGTGCAGCACAACTACTAGTCAATAGAATTTCTTCCAATTTACAGTGTGTAAATTGCATACTCTATTTTTTTTTTTGACAAAGAGTGAAGATCATATTTTTTCTGTACTGGACATGAACTCTACACCTTTGTGTGTACTGGTTTCCAGAAACATAGCCTATAATTATTAGATTTCATATGCTTAGTAGGAGACCAAAGCAAAGCTTAGGAATTGTAGACCATGTACTAGAATTCATCCTGGCTTTCATGTTTATGCATTCAAAACCCTTCTCTCAGACACACACTTTTCTCTAAGTAAAGAATAAAATAACATGTAAACCATAGTGTTTTTCCTCTATGTACACTATTAAATGGTCCAGGATTCAATAAGCAGTAAAATTATTCATAAGCATGAGAGGTGGTTGACAAGAAATTACTACTGCAAATTCAATTAAATGGTAATTATCATAGACCATTCTGGTGTTTTATTTAGATCTTTGAAGCTACTCTAAGCCTTGCTTTGTGGGTCTCTAGCGTGATCCAATGCAGAGAGCACAGGAGTAAAAAATAGCAACTAGTTATTCCTGCAGTAGTTTTATAATCTATGCTGAACTGATTTCCTTACTCTTCATGAAGTGAAATGTCCTGACTCTGAGCTGGTGCCCTCGGATTTGTTTTAAGGGGAAGAGCCTCTCTTACCCACCAGTATTATATCACATCAGTAAGCCTGTTTACTTTGGCAGATGAAAAGCTTCTTCAATCTGTACTGGTTTTGGCTGGTATAGAGTAAATTTTCCATGTTGTAGAAGAAAATTGCATTTGGATTTGTGCTGGAAGTAGTGTTGATAATTATTTATTGCTGAGTAGTGCTTACACAGGGTCAAGGCCTTTTCTATGTCTCAAAACTGCACCACCAGGACCACGGGGAGGCTTGGGGTGCATAAAACATTGGGAGGGAACACAGGACAGCTGATCCCACTGGCCAAAGGCATGTTCCACAGCAAGCTGTGTCACACTTGGCATACAAACCTGGGGGAGTAAGAGGTAGGGACATTCCCACTGATGATGTTTGTTTTCATAAGTCATGGTTACATGTGATGGAGCCATGGAGATGGCTCAATACTGGCCTGCCAACGGGAAATAGTGAGTGAATTCCTTGTTTTGTTTTGCTTGTGTGCACATCCTACGCTTTCTGTTAAACTATCTTAACCCACAAGTTTTCTCACTTTTCCTCCTGCAAGTACTTCATCCCTATGCAGGGACAGTGCATAAGGAACTGTATTGGGCTCATTTACCAGCTGGGGCTAAACCATGATAATCCAGTTGTCACTTGTCTCAGTTTTGTCTCTAGACGTTGACAAGAGCAAGTCCATGATCTTCAGATACTGCCATACGTTCTGGTTGAGTGTAGTTGAAATGAAACTCTTGCTTCCTCAGAGCCTTTGATTCTTTCTAATTTTCAGGTGAATTCCCCTGCTTTTAGTTGATCTGGGTTTTTTTATTTAAAGTTTTGGTATCAAGTTGCATTTTGAGAACCAAAAATGTGGAAAAGACATGTCTCTTACTTTAAAAAGTATCAAAATGACAATCTCCTCTTTAAGAACTATGTTTGCTTTGTGCAACAAAAGTCTTTGATATGGAGACTGAGAGAGTTCTGGTTTTAGGTCAGTGTTTTCTGAAGGCTTCAGAAAAGCGTGAACTTTTGAGAATAAGGCTTCAGATAGAAGCAGACAGTCTTAATGGTACCTGTCATTAGCACTCTGTAGCTGCACAATGGCATGAGACTGGGAGTACAGACTGAGCAGTGTGGCTTAGCTCAGAACAGCACTAACATAATCAACAACACTCTGATTTTGGAATTATTTGGTTAATGATGAAACTTCCGCCTTCTAGTGTTGGTGTTCTCTCATTTCTGTGTGATGGAGCAGAGGGCACAGGGAGCACAGAAGTTAATTTTTTACTTTCTCTTATTTTTCTGAAGTAGGCTGTTTCAATCAAATGTTTGTTCCATACAGGAGGCACTCAGGAGGGGAAAAGACAATGCTCCAAAAGTGGCAGGTAAGCTAAATCTTGACTGCACATAATTAAGCAAATAATTTCACCACACAGATATGTGTGTGTGTGTACATATGTACCTCAAGGCCTAAGCTGTTCTCTCCCTGCTGGAGGTGAGGTTGTTGGCAAGAGGAGCACAGTATTTACATCTGGTTATTGCAGAGTTTTTGCTCCTCCTGCTATGAAACATATGGTGCTACTGTCTGGCAGATTAAGTGTGATTTTATGCACATTTTTAAATTGAGACCAAAGAGAGCCACCTAGTTGAATGCCTGTTCACAGATCATCTATACAGCTAAATCAATGCACAGATGTTTTGCTGAGCTGGAAGACGTGTTTACTGCTCTGTAGCTGTGATCTTGGTGACTCAAGACAAATGAAGAAATCCATACCTTCTTGCTTATATGTAGCACTTTGTGCAGCCTTTTCTGTATAGGCAGTTATCCAGGGTTTTCCAATACCCAGACTGCATGCATTTGGCTCACTTTTAAATCAAGAAAAAAAATGCTCTGTTATGCAAATACAGCATAAAAGCACTGCATGATTATAGGCAAATGCAAATGGCCTATCTGAAGAAGAGACAGAATGAAGACAAA